CTACTGTCCCTTTACATAATTAAAGACACAATTGATTACTTAATAAATTCCATTAAACATCTTACATCATATCAAGTATAGTTATTCATACTTCAAACATACTTGATTCAACTACCATCTTCTCATGTTGCCTCACAAGCATGATTGACTGATATCAGCTGACATTGATAACATCAACATAACCTCAAAGCAACACAGCAATATCCAAAGAAGCCTTTACAGCAGAAAAATCACAAGAACACATCTTTTGAATAATCCAACAGAATATTTATTTCTACACAACAGTGCAATATTATTATAATTGTTTACACTCATTAAACCTTGTTTTAAAATAAATATATTATATTTTTCAGCCTTGTCCGTTATTGATTTCCTTTAAAATTATCCTGCCGAGAGACTAATCCACTGAACTATTGAATTGGCAGTTCGAGCCAAAAGCTAACCCCTTTAAATCCGAACAGTATGATATATTTTTTACAATCACTTTAATTTTTGATATATTACTTATTTGTTCATAAATCACTAAATGTAAATTTATATTATATTTGCTTGTGATTAATCTTATTTTATGAGGTTTAAATAAAACACTCTTACGTAATGTTATAAATAATTATGATCTTAAAATAATGTTATTATCTCAAGCTCAATAATTAACTCAATATTATTGTAACGTATTATACAGATATATTATATATACATAATTTTTAATTATTCTTGTAATAAATGTTTTTTTGAGAATTATGTTCATAATTATTTAATGTATATAGAAAAATTATTATTTTGTAATATTTAATATACTATATTTTATTTACTTATTAGAAACCAATAAATAATTAATTTTGAGCACTGGAGAAAAGTAATATATACTGATGAATACAAAATATATAACCGAAATAAATAGCAAATTGAAAATAAATTAATTGTTATAATAGCATCATGGAAACTACATATAAAGAAAGAAAGTGGATCAATAGCTAATATGTTTTACAACAGATAATGAGTGATATATATATATATATAATAGCAATACTCGGAAAACTAATTATTGTCCACTTGAATTCTTAATTCTAATATCTCTAAGATTTGCATGTCTCCTTTTACAATCGCACCATTATACTTACACGATAAAAGTAAAAAGTCTATTGAAATATCTAAATATCGAGTGCACTTTGTTTATGACCAAATTTAATGCATATGGTATACATATAAAAATGAATTTATTTTATATTATTTACTAATTTAAGAAATTTAAGAAATTAATAAAATATTACAATATATGACATTTAAATATTTTGTTTGTATAAAACAAATTCATCGACTTTGTGTATTATACATTATCTAATTATAAAAAATTTAAACATTTAAAAAAGAACAATTATAATAAAATGTGAAAGAGCTATTCCGGCACCAGTTAAGGAAATTTTAAATATAAGATTTATAAATCATAATAGTATCATTACTATCATTCGAAGTATTATAATGAATTGTTTTATGTATATTTGAAATATCAAAAAAAATATTAATAAGTAGATTTAAATTTGGAAATAAAAATTATACTTCTGGTACAATAAGCATTTTAATTTTCAAGCAGAATTAATAACATTAATAGAAATCTTTCTAAAAATAATGTGTTTTTAATGTTTTAATAATGTGTTTGTTTGTTTAACAAATAACAATCAAATTTGCAAAAGTAAATATCATGTTCTTAATAGATATAATTATTATATAAGAGCATAAAGTTAATTAATAACTAATATCAATTTCAAATCTTCAATTAAAATCAAGCTATACTAAATTGTTTTAAATAATTTTATATAACTTTATTGAATAATATAAACATCAAAAATCTTACAATAAATTGCCGATCTATCATATATATATATATATATATATATATATATATATATATATATATATGACATAAATATATGATAAATATGTATATATAATAACTAATAAAAATATTTAAAAAATCAGAAAAATAAAATTATTTTAAATTTTCAGTTATAACCAATCTTAATTTTTTTTGTTAAATAATTGGATTAATAATATAAATTTATTATAATTTGGAATAAATATCCGATTTAATATTTTATAACTTAAGAATCAATTAATTGTACATACGATGTTTGGTGAGTGATTAAGTTTTAAAGTTATATTTTTCAAATAATCACGTTAAATATTAATTAAAATTACTTCTAATTGACCACGTAGCAAAAAAAATATTGTGGTTTTCCAAGGATGTATTTAAATTTTTGGATAAAATAAATGTTTAAAAATATTAAAATAATAGACAAACACAAATTGTAACTGAGTATGTTTCAATTTATATATTTAAATACGCAAATTCATTCAAGATTTTAAACATTGAGTAATATAATAGCTTTCGAAAATAAGGATTCATAGTTGTTCGAGATTGAAGCCAGTTTCAAGACCGCCGATTGTCGGCATCGCCGGCCTTTTAGATCTCAGATTTCTGTAAACACATGGACGAGAATAGATTTTTCTTTCTGCACCTCATGTAATATTCCAGCGCAGCAACGACGATGCTTTGTTGCCAGCTAAGTGAGCCGCCGCGTGGATATATAAGGCAAGCACGCGGCGTGCCTCGCTCTCTTGCTAAACATCTCTTGCTGAACTGCGCTTACGGCTAACATTTTGCTGTGACCTGACCGCAGTGAACCGATCTGACCCTCTACCAGTTAAAACCATGGCAGGAGTCTCGGTCTACCTTCAACAGGACCGCCATGGAACGGTCGGTATTTTCAGCAGAGCCAGCCACGGAACGATCAAGCCTTCGGTTCGAGCGCGTATTCAAAAGGCTTATACGCTCATTGTAATTCTAGCTCGCGTTTACTCAACTGTTATTATCACTCAGTGTTCTAATATTGTGACGACGACACGTGGCCACATATTGGGCAACCAACTTAAAATTACACGTGGATTATCAAAAGAAAATCAGCAAGATCGGGTAGTGATTTTACAGTGAAGCCTGTTGGAATCGTAATCAAAGGGGGCACGCCACTCAGCAAATCAACATACCTTGTCGGTAATTTATAAGATACACATGTCTTATATTATTTAAATAAGCTAGTCGCATACGAGCAAATCGAGTTTCATAAAATCGTATTTAAAGAGTCGACAGGTGATAGAGTACGCTCTCTCGAACTAATACTACGTCATCGTGCAGTCCCTCAAACAGTCGACACAATTGACGCAACACATCAATTACATTGTCAAATGCAGACAACAATTCATAGAAGAATCGACAACAAATACATTTTCATCAAGCCTTCAATACTCGAAGGCTTGTAATTTATGACTCGTGCGTGTAACTAGCTTTTTACTGCTGCCATAAATAATTAAAGACAAAATTGAATACGTACCAACCTCCATCAAGATTCTTACAGTCTATCAAGTAGAGTCATTCCTTCTACCAAGTAAACGTGATTCAAACACCATCTTCTCGTGCTACCTCGTGAGCATGATCGACTACACAGGCTAATGTTTACATCAGCATAACCTCAACTCTCACGATACATAGTAATTTCTACAGCATCTACAATAATCAAGAACGCAAAGAAACACCCTCATTACTTCAATAGAATAATTCTCTCTCTCTCTCAACAACAGTGCAATATTATTATAATATTTAACAAATAATAAATATTGTTATTACTAAAAATATATAATATATAATATTTTTCAGCCCTTCCACTCATTATTTCCTTTTAAGTTATCATGACGAGAGACTAATCCACTGAACTATTGAATTGGGAGTTTGAGCCACAAAACAAATCCTTAATAATCGAACAATATTTCTATTTGGTTTGTCGTATAACTATTTCATATCTATTTTGGGAAATTAATTTTCTTTAATTTAAAATTTTCTTGAATTCATTATTTTATATTGCTTGTAAACTTTGGTAATCAGCTAAATTAAAAATTATTCGAATTCGAAAAGTAAGTCAAATACTATTATTGTGGCTAATAATATAATTAGTATTGTGAGTAATAATAAAATTAAATATTTATCTTGAATCAGCTTATGAAATTGGTAAAATTGGTATAAATATAGTATATTTTTTAAAATAATTTGTTTGACGGTATTTATTAAGAATTTATAGTTGGAAATATGGAAAAAAGTTTTAAGTTCTTAAGTTATTTGCTAAAAATAGTATTACTTGGAACTTTTGTTTATATATAATATATATTTTTGCTTTTTTTAACTTTTTTTATACTATTTATATAAAAGTGTGATGAGGGTCAATGACCTTATAATTAACATTGATTTTTGCGAGCATTCAATGTAATTTGTATGTAATAGAATATACAAAACACGGACTAATTCGAATAATATATTGATATTCAAAAAATTGTATTATTAACATAAATAATCCAAACTAAACAAAATATATCAAATTATATCAATCTCGGGCAAAACTTCTATATTGTTACCATAAGTAATTAGTTACAATTAACAATATGTAAATATCTGGTTAAATATACTACAACAGTTTAAATTAGTTTGAATTTTTTTTCTTGAATTATATTTTTCTAGTTTTTGTCTCCACTTTTTTTAATGTTTTTGATCATTTTTAAATTGAATAAAGAGTAAGGGCTATGTAAATATCAGTGTTGATGTTTGAAAGAAAAAGTTCTTGTGTCTATATGTTTATACAACTATTCAATCGCTACAAAATGATATTAACTTTCTAACAAATAATCAGTAATAAATTATACCATTGTAAGTAATGCAAATTTAATAATAATTTTTGTTATTTTAATACATTTAATTAACTAAAAAATACTAAATGTTACATGGCTTCTATGATCCGATATATAATAACTATTTATAACGTCTACTTTATAATGTGACAGATTTTTACTAGCTGGTATTTGTATTTATTCTTTTTTTTGTATATACAATGAGATGAACAAACAAATTAGATTGAAAATTTTTATTTAATTTCAAGACTATGTCCAATTTATCAAACCAAATACTAATTATATTTTGCCTCATAAGATTAATGTAGCGGCATTATAAATATGTTGTTACTTATTACAATTAGCAGTGTTGTGTATAAACCATATATGTATATTTTTATAATTTATCGAATTTCATTTTATCATTCATATTATTCATATTATATAGTTTTTTATTTAATATCATAACTCTATAAGTAAAAATTTGTCATATGTCTTTAGATTTTTCTTTATATTCATAGTTTATCCGTATCATTTTTGTTCGGATAGATAAATAAAAATGAGTTATAGTAATATAGAAGGTTTTTTGAAAAAATCAAGTCGAAAAAGTTATTAAAAAAATGTAACTTTTTGATTATATATGTAATTAGATCATAAAACTGCTATTTGAAATTCTATTTCCACGATTTAAATGTTTCAATCGATATTATTTTTAATATTTCCTTAGAAAATCTAAAAACATTGAAAATCGCGTATTATGTTATTAATATTCTTTTAGATTTATTTCTAATATATAGAATTCTACGTAAAAAGAATATATGCTTATTTGAAGCATGCGCAATAGAAGTTAAGTGTATTTATTGTCTATAATAGACAATAATAAATTCAAATTATATATTTAAATAAAAAATGTTGAATTAATTAAACAAATAAATATGTTTAAATAATTTGAATTGAATTTGAATTATGGAATGTGTATACAATTGTCATATCGATTATATACATATATTGAAATATCGTTTCATATATAAAATCAATGAATAAGGAATAATTAATTGAAAATTTTTTTTATCTAAAGAAAAAAAAATTAATATAATAAGCAATAAATATTGAATATAATAATACTAATATGTATGTACACAGATTATTTTAGTATATATTGTTTTATGTAGAGAAGTAGGAACTTAAAATCTATTTATTTTAAGTTGTAATTTATATTTCCAAAATATATTTTCACTATAAATTATTATAAATTGAAAAATAAAAAAAAATATTATTCAAACAGTAATGTACCACTATTTTTGTCGTTAATTAGAACATTATATTACTCTATATTGAAATTATAGACGTTTTTAAAAATGAAGAATTTTAATTACGCTTAATTTAATTGGTTCATTCACTATTTCTAGTATATGATGTCAACACTCTTGTGTAGTCAGTTTTTACCTTACCTATTTAAAAAATGGAGAATAAAGAAAATTACAGAAAATTAATTGCAGAAGCAATAATAAAGTTCAAAATATTTTTATAAATAATACAAAATAAAATTTCGTATTTCTTCCAGTATAATATAAAATACAAGAAAACAATCAAATTATTATTTAAATGTAATACGAATTAGATAAAGTAAATTAATGCAATATAAAAGAAATGTTTTAGTATGCTCAACATAAATACTTCTATGTTAATGACAAGTAATTAACTAGAAAATATAAATCTATTAATATATTGTTTTCGGATATGTTCTACCTTACTTGCAAAATCTGCAATTGTATAAAAATGCTTACGCTACTTTAATCAATTTTATAAGTAACGAGTATAATTCATAAATAATATATATGATAGGTCTCCATATTTTTGTAATATATCTATGCAGCTTTTCTTATAAATTAAGCAAGTCAATCTAGTATGAAATAATGCGAAATAGTTAATAACTTTCTTCTATTATGAACTATTAAACGTTTACATTAGTCAATTTTATTGACAAAAGATGTTAAGTTTCATCATTTAGAAGCTTTCTAGTACAAGTTTTGACAATTTATACGAGGTCGTCGGTTTAAAAATATAAACACATATCATAGACTAAGAAATTTTAATCCAGAGGCAAAATCTAATGACATACAATATAAGTAAGTAAATGTGTAATAATACATTTTCGATGTTTAAGGTTGGCTATACATTATGAGAATCACTGCTAAACCGCTATTTTCATTCGATAAGTTCCTCGAGTAACTAGTTATACAGTTAACATATATATAGTATATAATTTATGTATTACATGGTCTAGGATAGGGTTAGTTACGTGACCCGAAAGATAAGACTATTCAACTAAAATACGTAAGGTCTTAAACGTATTTATTTTCTTACTCCTTGCAGTTTCTCTAGGCTGTTACCCATTTTCGGACAAGTTCTACAATTATCCATAAGTGTCAATAACATTATTAATAATAAAAAAAAATGATATGATTAGGTTATGTTCATCGGTGATTAGAGCTTACATTTTTGACACCAGAGGCGCGCTATCTATATCTGTATATGCGCGCACGCGTTTGTACATCTGAATTTGGTCTTTTGCTCGACGTCGTTTGCCCGAAATTATACCGTGTGGTATCCTATGTATCTTTAAACGTGATTCACATGCAAAGGGAAGTTGTAGGAAGACGTGAACAGGTCAGTATTGTTAGTAATTTGAAACAATTGAGTGAATTAAATTGTGAAAAGGATCTTTCACTAAAAAATAGCACAGCATGGATCCGCGAAAATTAACAGAATTACTCCGAGCTACCATTGAGCCGGCACAGCAGAAACAAGCTGAGGAGCAACTCAATCAGGTGAGTTAACTTAATTTTCGTTTCCAAACTCATATTGTTATTAAAGTACTCCATCTGCGTATTTAATTTGAATATTTAATATGAGCTATTATATTTCATTAGATAAAAGTGTTTTACATTTGTAAAACTATACAGTTAATTATACAGTAAATATTCATTATATTTATTATTTAACTTCTATTTTAGTTTACAGATTTTTAATTTTTTTTTACATGATGACACTTCAAATTTTTTTGGATTTGTTTGTAATATCTGTTGTAATACTTATATTTTTTATATACACGTTTTCAATTAATAAAATCACTACTTCTGTTAATTTAAGTTGTTCCATACAATGTTTGTAATTTAATAGATACATGGTTTAATTTTTTCAGATCCACAAAATTATTGGCTTTGCTCCAGGACTGTTACAGGTAGTAATGTCTAATGATGTTGATATGCCTGTAAGGCAAGCTGGTAAGTTGCTAATATTAAAAATTCAAAAATATAATTTTTAATATTGTAATCTGTTTTAGGTGTTATTTATTTGAAGAATTTTATTACTTCAAATTGGATAGATCGAGAAGCTGAAAATGGATCAGTACCCTTTAGTATTCATGAACAAGATAGAGGAATGATTCGTGATGCTATAGTTGATGCTACAGTACATGCACCTGAACTTATTAGGTATACAATATATCTGAATATAATTTTAGAAATATTTATAAGTTATAATTTCTTTGTTTATTTAGGATACAATTGGCAGTATGTATTAGTAATATTGTTAAACATGACTTCCCTGGAAGGTGGACACAAATAGTTGATAAAATAACAATATATCTACAAAATCCAGATGCTTCCTGTTGGCCTGGTGTTCTCTTGGCCTTGTACCAATTTGTAAAAAATTTTGAGTTAGTTTAAATTATTTGTTTATCGTTTATAAATATTTGATTATTTAAATATATTTATTCTTAAAATTATTTGCTAGATACAAAAAAGCAGATGAGAGAGGACCCCTTCATGAAGCTATGAATCTTCTTTTACCTATGATTTATCAATTGATTTTAAGACTACTTTCTGATCCATCTGAACAATCTGTTTTACTTCAAAAACAAATACTCAAAATATTTTTTGCTTTAACACAATACACACTTCCACTTGATCTTATTTCTAAAGAAATTTTTTCTCAATGGATGGATATTGTTCGTCAAGTAGCTGATAGGCCTGTACCTCCAGAAACAAATAATCCTGATTTGGATGATGATGAACGAGCAGAATTAGCATGGTGGAAATGCAAGAAATGGGCACTTCATATACTTCAGAGAATGTTTGAAAGGTATAAATAAAATTTAGACATAAGCTTTATTTTTAATTTAATTTAATATAAATAATATATGATAAAATAAAATATAATTATAGGTATGGAAGTCCAGGTTCAGTATACAGTGATTATAAAGATTTTTCAGAATGGTATTTACATACATTTAGTGGTGGTATATTAGAAGTTTTACTGAAAGTCTTAGATCAATATCGTAGAAAAATTTATATATCACCACGTGTTTTACAACAATCTATTAATTATATAAATCAAGGGTATGAAATTTTTTTCAATTTTGTGGATTGTTTTTCTTTGCACTTACAAAGTTTATATAAATAACATATTTTTAGAGTGAGTCACGCATTTTCTTGGAAATTTTTAAAACCTCATATGTTTGAAATCATACGGGATGTTTTATTTCCAATTATGTCTTATTCAGCAGCTGATGAAGAACTTTGGAATACAGATCCATATGAATATATAAGAGTTAAATTTGGTAATTGATCAATATTTATAAATTTCTATGTAAATAATATGAGAAAGTATCTTACTTATAATTCATATTGTATTATCCAGATATATTTGAAGATTTTGTATCTCCTGTAACTGCAGCTCAAACTTTATTACATTCTGCTTGTAAAAAACGGAAAGATATGTTACAAAAAACAATGCAATTTTGTGTTGAAGTTTTAACTAGTTCTAATACAGATCCAAGACAGAAAGATGGAGCATTGCATATGGTAAAATAATTTTAATGTAGTTTTTTTTATAAAATATTTTCAAAATAATGTTTATATCTTGTAAATAGGTAGGAACATTAGCCGATGTTCTTTTAAAGAAAAATATTTATAAAGATCAAATGGATAAAATGTTAATGCAGTATGTATTTCCTGAATTTAATAGTTTGCAAGGCCATATGAGAACAAGGGTATATTCTTTTATAATGTTTTTATATTTATTAATTTAAAATTGTATTTGATAATTTTTATAGGCTTGTTGGGTACTGCATTACTTTGCTGAAATTAAATTTAAGCAAGAAAATATTTTGATAGAAGCTGTTAGATTAACAACAAATGCTTTATTGAATGATCATGATCTTCCAGTTAAAGTTGAAGCAGCTATTGCATTACAAAGTTTGCTTCAATCTCAAGATAAAGTACATAAATGTGTTGAGCCTTGGATAAAACAAATTACACTAGAACTTTTGAATCTTATTAGATTAACTGAAAACGATGATTTAATGACTGTTTTACAAAAAATTGTTTGTACTTATCCAGAACATATTATGCCAATCGCTGTAGAAGTCTGTCAGCATTTAGCAGCGACATTTAGTCAAGTTTTGGAAACTGATGAAGGCAGTGATGAAAAAGCTATTACAGCAATGTCATTATTAAGTACTATTGAGACTTTGTTATCTGTAATGGATGATCATCCTCTAATTATGAATCAACTTCAGCCAACAGTCTTACAAGTTATTGCTCATATTTTTAGTCATAGTGTTATGGGTAATTTTTTAATTTTATGCATATTGTAAGTATATTATAATTTTGAATATTTTTAATTTAATTTTAGAATTTTATGAAGAAGCCATGTCACTTGTATATGACCTAACAGGTAAATCAATATCTGAAGATATGTGGAAGGTTTTAGAATTAATGTATGAGCTTTTCCAAAAAGATGGTTTTGACTATTTTATGGATATGATGCCTGCTCTTCACAATTATATTACAGTAGATACACCCGCATTTTTATCTAATGAAAATCATATTTTAGCAATGTTTAACATGTGCAAAGCTGTGTTAGTAGGTGATGCTGGAGAAGATCCAGAATGTCATGCTGCAAAACTTCTTGAAGTAATAATTCTACAATGTAAAGGACACATTGATAATTGTATACCACCACTTATACAACTTGTATTAGAACGATTGACACGTGAAGTTAAAACATCAGAATTAAGGACCATGTGTCTTCAAGTTGTTATTGCTGCTTTATATTACAATCCAACTTTATGCCTTGAAACAATGGATAGACTGCAAGGTACTTTAGGACAGTCAACAGAACCAATTGCATCACATTTTATTAAACAATGGATTCATGATACAGATTGTTTTCTTGGGTAAATATGTCTTCATATAGATTTTTCATATTCATTATCATAATATTACTTCAATTATTATTTATAGTATTTATTTATAGGTTACATGATAGAAAATTATGTGTTCTTGGTTTATGTACAATAATTAGTATGGGTCCTTCCAGACCAACAGCTGTTAATGAATGTGTACAGCAAATCATTCCATCATTAATTCTTCTTTTTGATGGTCTCAAAAGAGCATATGTTGCAAAGGTGGCAGAAAGTGAGGATGAAGATAATGCTGAAGATGAAAGTGATTTAGAAGAAGGTATTTTTTATTATAAAATATTTTTATGTTAATACATTTGCATTTGTTATTCACAACGAACAAATTTAATCTAGAAGTGTTATCATCGGATGAAGATGAAATAGATGATGCTAGTCAGGACTATCTTGAAAGACTGGAAAAGAAAGTTACAAAATCACAATGTCATCACATGAGTGGTATAACAAGTTCAATACAGGTTGAACATATTGACCATAAATCAGATGACGATGATGATGAAGATTCAGATTATGAGGCTAATGAAGAAACTGCACTTGAAAGTTATATTACACCACTTGACTCGGATGATACAAATCAAGATGAATATATAGTTTTCAAAGAAGTTCTACAAAGTAAATTTTATCTTAATTTCATACTATAGAATACCTCAGTAAAATACTGTTCTTTTTAAAAAAATTAATAATATTTATTTTAAATAAAAAAAATATTTATATTTAAATAGTTTTATATATAGAAATTCTTTTCATATCAGAAATTTTAATATAAATGTTTTATAATTTCTGTACATTTTTAATTTATAATTGAAAAAAATATAACTGAAGTATTTTATTATTTTTAATTTGATTAGTCATTTTATTAATATTATTTTTCTTAGTTTATTCAAAATAAATATAATTGATATTTTCATATTATCAATGAACAAGTATAAAGTAAAATAATATTACACATAAATATTTAAAATTAATATATTAAATAGATATTGAAAGGACGGATGGAACGTGGTATAGTGCTTTAACTAGTCACTTAATACCAGAACAACAAAAATCATTGACCGAAATTATATTATTAGCAGATCAGCGTAAAGCAGCATTAGAAAGTAAACGAATTGAGCAGAGTGGAGGTTAATATTTTTAAACAATTTTGAAATTTTCTTTGATTTTACTTGAAAAAAATAATTTTTATTTTTTTTAGGTTATGCTTTTACTTCACAAACTGTGCCCACTTCATTTAATTTTGGCGGTACGCCTTTAGGCCGATAAGAAATATAAGCGATTTTATATTAATATAAGTAAAGAAATTGTAAGGTAAATGAATTAAATATTTGTAGCACTTGATTGCAATATGACCATCTTCAAATAATGCATTTCCTTCTTACTATTTTTGTGTAAATTAAATGTACATTAATACGGCAATAGGAAGGATTTGTATACATATTATAAAGCCGTTTTTACGTTTTTAATGCGAAGCTCTTATTGCCAATTGGTCATATCGACTTGTACCAAATAAATCTCATTATTGAGTGATGCTATGTACTTGGTTACATAAAGAAATTGTAAGTAATGTTTTGGACTTTAAATTATTATAATCTATCTAAATCAGTGAAAGATAGTACAAAAATATTGAGTCAATTTAAATTTCTGATAATACGTAATCTTTACTAAAAAAATAAACCTTCAAATTCGTACAATAATCATATTTGATATTGAGATTTTTCAATGTGAAAATGTTCTGACAGTAGTTCAAATAAGAATATAAGAAACTTTTAACTTTCTTTGTATTTGTTAACAGATAAAATAATAAATACATTTCATTGTTCTTGTAAAATATATTCAAACATAATTTTCATTAAGTAACAAAATATTTTTTTCATTATAAGCCTGTTCCATAAATGCAAATACATGTAATTTATTTAAAGTATTTCCATAGCCTGTGTTAGTCATAATCAACAGTGATATGAATCTTTTTTTTAATTACTGCTTAGTTAATATATTTTTAATAGTTATTGTTATTATAGAGATATACAAATAATTGTGCTTTTATAACTGGTCAATTTTACATATTTTAAATACTTTTCAATTTATAATGAACCGTCCAGTAAGTGAAGTTTATGGCACTGCAGATTTATATTTTGGAAAGTATCTGTATAGTAAAATGAATTACAATGTTTCTCTTAGCAAAGAATAAAACATTTATAAATATTAGAAAATAAAATACTTAATTAAAGAAATCATGTACAAAGGGGTTTCCTGTACTGTCATTAATGAAGAATAGACAATTTTTATGCGTTTTTTTTTTTATATATATATAAAATAAATTATTCCAGAATTTTAAGTAATGCATTTGCATTTAAAACAATGATTTATACTTTTTTTATAAAATAAAATTGAATACTAGTTAAAAATAACTGGCTTTCAATGAAATTTTTTTTTATAAATAAAAAATATTTTAAAATGTGCCTTGAAGTAATTTTAAAAATTGGAATTTAAAAGAATTAAACAAATATCATTGTAGGTTGGGTTGAAACTAGGACACTTCCTTAGTTTTAAATTCCATTATTACAGATGTACAGTATTAAACTTTCTACAGAGTAAAAGAAATTTTTTAACTTTTTTTACATAAACAATAAGTACATTTAAAGTCTATATTATAATAAGCGCCAACTTTGTAGTGATATGTATACTGTGCATATATACTTAGATTATAGAAAATTGTATGAGAATTAGAGGTGATATATATATACATATATATGCATGCACAACCAATGGGTGTTTAGCCAACATGTCATACTTTATTATAATTATATTAAATTGGAAATGCAGTCTATGATCTAATCCTTGTTTTTTTCGTTTACCAGGTCACAATAAAATCTCCTTTTAATTGTTTATATACATTTTATAAATAAGTAAAGTAATAATTGTTTGCAAGCAACTTCTTTATTATCACATGATTATATTAGATAATTTTACATTATAATTGATTATTATAATACTTACAAATTTAAATCTTTCAAGCATAGTCAAGCTTAAAATAATTATATAAATGAAATGTGAAATTGCAATTGCAGAAAAATTTAGAAAACAATTTTTTCTAGTTTAAATATTTTTATTATTCTAGTGACTAATATTTTGTCATGAAAAAAAAATTGAAACTAACTTAATGTAAGCCAATCGATTACCATTATCAATTTAAATAAATGCAATTTTTGTTAACCTTTCCTTAAATTATGTTTTTATTTATATATTGTTTAATAAAGGATTTACATAAATTGTCACCAGCAATGATTTGTATTAAGAATTTTGCCAATGTTTGTTGCATTGGATTATATTTAAACATAGTAATGTGCTTGCTTATAATTTGAGCAGTTTAGAATATATAATTATTAATTAATTCGGGTAAAACAAAACTTATTTTTTATTTACTTTGTTATATTATATATCATTTAAATGACTTAGAAACTATTCAAGCAAGAAATTTCATTGCCTATTAATTCCTCCTAAAAATGATGGTCAATTTACAAAGGGATTTGTTTTTAGACTTATATAAATTTTGAAACTGTATACTTTGAAAGTTTTACAATATTTATAATTAATCAAAAATATAAAATAGTTAAATTATATGTTATAGACTTGAAAACTGTTATTATATATGAGGTGGACACATCAATGATGACACAAATTGTTGTCCTATATTTGTCCAAATATTTTTTCTCAGATAGTGAAATTTTGTGAAGATGAAAGAGATGTCGATAAAAAAGGGACAAAATATCACTTGAGACATCGCTGAAAATAATATTGTCCTACATAACCTCCTCGTATTGCTTTAGCTACATTTTGTTCAAATACCCTTCGATTATTTTGTAATACTTCAGCTGCATCTTTGTTCAATGGATCCTCTGGATTTGGCTCCTAAAATTTATTATGCTAATTAATAAATATACATCCTATAGTAAAAATCAATGTTTTTATTTTATTTTTCAATGAATTTTAATTGGATTATTTTCTTTGAAATACAGTTCGACAAATTTATTTTTATTTTATAAAAATTATTTTGATAAATATTATTTTTATTAAAAAAATAAAACAACATTGTTATTTCATTGAATGATTATATTTTTACTTAATAAAATTTAAAGATCTGTGAAAGTGTAAAATAAAATACAATCAGCATTTTAAACTTTATTATTATTTATAATTACCATTGAAAGTATGGTGAATCATAATTATGATTCTTTGTTATCTTTTAAATTAATTCTTTTTATAAACTAATATTTCATATATAATATAATTTATTAATTTATATTTATCTAAGTTATAGATTTTAAATGAAATTATTAAATGTTTTTAAAATATTGGTATTAAATAAATTAACAGCAAAATACTAATTTAAACATAAAATTATTGTACAAATTCCAAATTTATATATATAATTAAAAAAAACATTAATAAACAATTGAAGAGATGGTAAGACAAAACAACAAATATCTTTTACAATTTTTATTTGATAAAATATGAAATTTTTTGTTTATTTTTGTGACATAAAAGAAGCTTTTAATGAAATAGATTATTAATGAAAATGATAAATAATTCTATTTTACTCAATTTAAAAATATAAACTTTTTTCTATTAATATTAAATTTGTAAAATTTAAGTTATTTAAACATTTTCACAATTTATAAATACTTACTAAAAAAAGGTATTGTAATCCATAAACAATTGAATTTATGGTTAGAACTGGTTTCCAATCTTCTCTTAAAATATTTAGACAAACATTACCTTCTAAATCAATATTTGGATGGTATACCTGAGTTTCACATTTGACCTTTGGTGGTTCATGTGGATAATTTGGCCCAACTTTAAAACTAAATATAAATCGTCCTCCTTTGTAAAATCCCTATGATTTGATAATTATTGATAATTATATTCAAGCACTATCACATTTAATTGAAACTAACCTCATCTGGACAAATGACAAGTTTAAATGTAAGTAAATCATCAGGGTCTGGAAATTCGGTACCACAAGTTTTTGGTAAATTTAGTTCATTTATATCTAAAATAACAAAACCTTAAATTTATAAAATATTACATTTATATATTAAATGGCAAATAATATAGTAAAATGAAAATTTTTTATTAAATTGAAAATTCTGGTGACGAATAAAATATGTTAACATATATAATAAAATTTCACCTTTTTGGATTCTTAACTGCGCCGCGGAAGACTTCTTTTGAGTGCCAGTTTTTGGGGATTCACCATCCTTTTTTGCATTTTTTAATGAAAACAACTTAATCATGTTAAAGTAATTACAATTAACTGAATTAAAGCGTATAATGATAAATATACGTAAATAACTGTCTTTTTGGTAGTAAACTTGGTAGTATTAAAGAAAAATTTGAATAATTGTTTTCTCAATTATAAAATATATTTTAACATGAAAAGAAACAAACCACTATTTTTGTACTTTAATGCCCTATTCCAGACCAAGAATACGATGTAGCGAAGATGAAAGTTCTATAAACGTTGGAGAAAAAGAGGAATAGGGGAAAGAAAGGAAATTGGGAGAAAAAGAAAGAAATATATTAGATTAACGGTCAGTCGACAATGTTGACATCATAGTAGAAATTGATATCCCTGATTTTCTGCGCATGTAATAATAAAATTTAAAGATAATTTGTTTTAGACTTTTTATCACTTCCAACATCAATAATCACTTGTATATGAAATAATCGTTTTGTTTTTTCACTAATGTGCTTGCTTTCGTTATATGGTTGCTATGCATTGGTCCGTTTGACTATATTATTTCTGATGCATACATCCTATATCATCCAAATCCAAATCGTTCCACGGCTCCTAATTGTTTCATACATGGTCAGTTAGGTTAGGTATTTAGTTCTTGTAGTCATGCGCCTATCTAAAAAATGAATGCATATTGTTTTTAAAAAAATTAAATGAATTTTTTAATTTATAAATTTGATTTGTGAATTTATAATTATTTACGTAGATGATATTGAAATATTATTTGTCAAATACTTATAAAAAGTTTGACAAATTTTGGAAAGGTGTACTATATTTACCAATATGATATTAATATATTTAAAAATTTTATAATACCTAAGGAAAGTAAGTATATAATTAATAAATAAAATTAATAATAGAATATAAAATAATTTTAATAAAAATTAATAGAAATTTTTTCTATTTATATAACGTTCTAAAATAAAAACTTTAGTGCTAATAAGTATTTTAAATATTTAAATTAAATTTAAATATTTCCATTCTAAAAAATAATTTCTTAATCATATAAAATGATAACAAACTTTGATTAAAATATAGTTTCTATAAAAAAATTTGTTTGTATTTAATGAAAAGGTTGTTTATATAAAATTTTGAAAAATTATATTTTATATAAATTTAATTTTGAAATTTTATAATTTTCCTATAACCATTATATATTTTTTGTAATATCTCAAAAATATGAATATAAATTAGTAAAGATAAAAATATCTTATATATAGACTAAAATCTTTTAAAATCAAAAAAGAAAAAATTGTGATTATAAGATTGAATAATTATGTATCTGTATATGAATTTTTAATTTAACGTGTAATAAAGTTGATATTTTTTGAAAAATTAAAATCTTTCATTTCTATTTTTATAGATTTGTATTAAAATTATACTTCTCAAAATTTTTGATTTCATTAAATAATCAATAACATAAATAATATTACTCTTTTAAACAATAATTTAATATACAAGTTATTTACCAAATTATATTAAATTTTTTGTTGCTTAAAAAGTTATATTAATGAGTAGTATTAAACTAAAAAGAAAAGAAAATATAAATAGTTATAACAAGGTAAAAGAAAGCAAAATCTTATTGAAGTAAGTTTTATATTGCTCTTATGAGATTTAAAATATTAATAAAGCGTACGATTTATAAGCTATTTGAAAAATCCACCCTATTTATCCAAACAGATATTGACTTTACTATTATTTATTAACTATTAAATGTTACTTGGTTATTTATTATTTTACTATTATAAGTTCAATTATATTATAATTTTTACACAGCTTACATAGTATACAAGTCTACATAGTTTAAACTGGAAAATAATAAATAATGTAAAGACATGTTAAAAACTATAGAAAACAATTTTTACAGAATTTCTTATATTTAGTTATTCTTTTTAATTATTGTCAGATAATTTTGGATTTGAGTTTTATATAACTATTTGAATTAATATTCAAGATTATGCATCATTCAATTTTATTCTATATAAAAATTTTAATTATTTGTTGTTTTAATTTTATATATTTATTGTAAAAACCATAATAAAACTAATCAGTGTTTGATTTATTTATATATCTGATCTTTTCTTAATTATTTGAAATGATAAATATAAATTATAAATAATGAAATAAAATAATTAATAAAAAACAAGATTTGTATTGTATTGTGAAATTTTTCACATTATATTTGAATTAAAATAATTAACATAATACAATAGGAAATTTACTTTATAAAAAGATATACTTTATTGCTGTTATCATTCATTCTTCTTTATTCAAAATACATTTGTAGTATTTATGCTCTTTTAAAAGCGATTCCAACATATATTTTGTATTAATGTTATTATAGAAGTTTTACAAATTGATTGTGTTAAATTTATATATATTTGAAATAGTATATTTTTTATAAGAAATAAAGTTTTTTATACATAAATTATTTGGTACACTTTAATTTAATAAATATATGTTTTATACACAGGTTAATTTAATAAATACTTATTTTTTTACATCAGTTTTATCATTGCAATTCTGGTGAAATTATATCTTACACTATTGCAAAATATTTTTTGCTATTAGTAATTGCACCTTATGTAATTTAGCTTTTTAAGTGAGTAGCGTATATTTTTAAACTTTACTACTGATAAATGATTTTCCATTATGTTTTTAATATGTGGTCAATATTCACTATACTAAGCAAAATTGAAGAATTTTAATTCTATTAATATTTAAATCCATTAATAACATTTGAATTATTTTCTGTAGATATATAGTGTCGTGTTTTGTACAAATTCAATCTTTTATTTTTGTAAGCTATATCTATGTTAAAGACTCTGAAGTAAAATATTCGTTTTCATCTGTACTACGTTATAACGAATAAACATAAGTAATTTTTTCATTAAAAAACTATTGTAATTGGCATTTATTTTATTTACTGGTTACATTATTTTTGTTCATAATATTGAAATCTTTGTTTTTTTTTTACAATTTACTATTAATATTATGCAACTTAATTTTTATCTATGAAAATTGTTTTTATTTTTTAATAGACTTGGATATTTGGTATGGGTATAAATCCTATATATATTAATAAATTTAATTTATATCTGTATTATTTTTAATTATTTTGCTATTATTAATATTGATTTATTGTATTAAATTTTTTATTTACAACAGATATTTAAATATTTTGTTCGATAGTTCAATTTAATTTGTCGTACGCCTTAGCGGATGCTTAGATAAGGATTTAAGTTAAAGTGGCAATTTATATTTTTTAAATTTGTAAAGGTAATGAATTTTTTTTAATTTTTATTTTTTTCTTATATATAGGTTAATACATTAATATAATATCTATATTTATTTTTAGAGATTAATTATATTATTTTAATGCATATAATCTTTTTGTAAGTTTCTTAATATTAATTTCATATTTTTAAAATATAATTATAACAATCTTTTACTTTTACAAATTGAATAAAAAGAATAATTTTGTTTGAAAAAGTAATGTACCACTATTATATATACTTGTGCTTCTATATTAGTACCTGATTAAAAACCTTATAGAACTTAATGAACCAATTTAAACTTTGGTACGTATAAATGAAATAGAGCACTTATCTAATAATTTTATTGTTAGGTACCCTGAATCTAGTGGTTTACTAGATGGAGCCGTTTCTTACCATTTCTTTGTTAGTCAATGATTCTTCATGGGCTATGTTTGATTCAAAATTCAAAAAATTCTCCATGGAATGTTTCTAACAATATTGCATATTAATTTGTATAATTTAATACATTTCATTTTATTCATTATATATTTCTTTTATAGTATTTTTATATATTATACATTTATTTTGTATAATTCTCTCAATTGACAATAATTTTAAATAATTTTTTTTATTTTTCTTTTTTTTTGTAACTAAGTTTAAATAATTAATATCAAGAACATTATCTATTTATATTATTTAAATATAATAACGACACACTTTTTTTGTAACCACATAAATTTACATTCATTAACAATATAATATATTGTTCAATTATGTCTTGTTTTTTAGTATATTTTCTGCCACTTTTAATGATATTTCATCAAACACAAAAATACAGTCGTTTTGGTGAAAATCAAAATATTTTAAAATTGTTTAAAAATAGTATAATTTTCAATAAAACATAAATAATTTATGTAAACATACATAGTAAATTCTGATGGTAAAACTAAATCAATAGCTTTTAATTTTAAGTAATTGGTAATATCAAGAAAATGTTTGTTGTTAAATTTTTTTTGGTAATTTTAAAGGTAGTTTTTGTGATAGAATTACTTGTATTTTTTAATTTAATAGGAGCATGTATAGATAAATTTTGTATAATTTTCAAAATTTATTTATAAATTATTCATCTTTTTTAAAATGAATTTTACATTATATATAATGTATAAATAATTCGATGAACACATATATAGTATATAATATAATTTTAAACTTAAGAGAGCTAGTCAAGGCGATAATATATTTATTTTTCAATTTTATTCAAATTTAGTAATTTCTATTTCCTTTATATTAGCTTATTAAATCAAATATATTTAATTTTTGTCAATTTTATTACACGTGTTATTAAAATAATATTAATCATATAATAATATTAAAAATAATAATATATATAATAAAAATAAAAATAAATGATAAAATTAAATTATTCTTAAGAAATAATATTCTTTAAAGTTACTTTACATATTCTTTATATATCCTTTATATCAATATGTATGCATATCAAATTCAAATTTATCAATTTAATTATTGATTTTTAATATGTATTAATATTAATGTTAATTATTTATAATTGTTAATGGAATTTTTGTGTTCGAAAGTACAAATTAGATCAATACATAATTTGAATATTATATTCGCCATTTTAAAAGTTATTCCTTAGTAACGTATTTTACATTAAAACAAAGTCATATTTTCAATAAGATTATTAATAGTATTAAATTATTCTTTAATAATTAGGGATTCATATTTATTTCCGCACATTAAATGAAATTACAGGAGCAAGTTTATAAACTCACGTATATATGATATCGGTATGCAAACTCGTATAACTTGGGTAGATAAGGTTCAAGATAGAATGGAGCAATGGTAAATAAAATAAATTATTTTCTTGTAATAGATATAGTTTCTTTTGTTTTTTTTTTATAATAATTTGGGGATGACTTAATTTAAAAATTTTTTTAAATAAGTGAAATCGAGCTTATAATTAATTATTTTATTAAACATTGTGATTTTATTATAAATATTGTTTTGACATTAACTATATTAAAATTGTATGTTTTTCTTTAAAAAAATCCTTTTATAGTATTTATGATATATGTTATAATCCAAGTGGAACTCAATTAATTGTTGCTGCAGGGCAACACGTTTTAGTTTATGAATGCAATGATGGTGCTTTGATTCAACTTTTAAAAGGTACATAAAATTTGTGTACTCATAATATAGATAAATTGTTGAATTATTAATTAATTAATCTTTTATTTAGTATATTGATATATATAAAACATGAAAATATATATACTTATAGTTTTTTCCATATAAGTTATTTTAATATTATTATTTAATAATTTTGATTAATTAAAAAAACAAATTTTATTTTAATTTTTAGGTCACAAAGATATTGTATATTGTGTATGTTATGCAAAAGATGGGAAAAAATTTGCTTCTGGAAGTGCAGATAAAACAGTTATAATATGGTCTTCAAAATTAGAAGGAATTTTAAAATATTCGTAAGTTTTATTAAAAATTTTGTCTCATTTTATCTAAATTAATTTATAACTATATAAATAATTTTTCTTGTAGACATAATGAAGCAATTCAATCCATGCAATTTAATCCAGTGTCATACCAATTGCTTAGTTGTTCTCTTTCTGATATTGCATTATGGTCTATAGAGCAAAAAGCTGTTCAAAAATATAAATTGGGAGGGAGAGTAAATTGTTGTTCATGGACAAAAGATGGAAAATATATGGCTTTGGGATTAGCAACTGGTTATGTTTCTATTAGAAATAACGTAAATTTAATATTTGTTAAAAATTTTTATTATATTTTCATTTAATTATAAATTATTGACATTTATCAATGTTGCATATTATGAAATTAATACAAAATATTTTAATTGTTACATTTTTATAATAATTTTTTAGTAATATATATTGATAATTTTATAGGCTGGAGAGGAACAATTACGAATTGATCGTTCAGGAGATTCACCAATTTGGTGCTTGGCTTGGAGTTCATCTAAGTATGAAATAGTACTTAGAAAAATAGTAATTAAAAGTCTTGAGTATAAATATTAATCTTTATTGTTTATTTTAAAAATTTAGTGATCCTGTGGATATTATTTGTATTGGCGAATGGAGTGGAATTTTATCATTTTACACTTTGAGTGGAAAATTAATTGGAAGAGAGCGTAATTTAGATTTCATTCCATTGAAAATTTGTTATTTTCCTAATAATCAATATATTATAGTTTCTGGAAGTAATAAACAATGCATTCTATTGTCTCATGATGGAATTCAGTTAGCTTCAATAGGAAATTCATTTTCTTCATGGACTTGGTGTTGTGCTATTCATCCAGAATCATCGCATGTTGTAAGTTATATAATAAGAGTAGAAAGTATATTATATTATATTATATTCATGATAGAAAGTATACAATTTATTATTTTAAAATTTGTAGTCAATTGGTTGTCAAGATGGTATAATAACAAATTTTGAATTGTCATGGAACATTGTTCATGGATTGTACAGAGATAGATATGCTTATAGAGAAAATATGACTGATGTTATTATTCAACATTTAATTACAAACGAAAAGGTTCGGATTAAATGTAAAGATCTTGTAAGTATTAAAATAATAAATAAATAAATTGATAAAAATGTTTACAATATAATAGATAATATTTAATTTTAGGTTAAAAAAATTACTGTGTATCGGGACAGATTAGCTGTACAATTATCTGATAGAGTAATAATATATGAACCGTTAGGAGATACTGAAGATATGCATTATCGAATTAAAGAAAAATTAACACAATCTTTAGAATGCGGCCTTCTTGTTGTTACTACCAATAATTTAATACTTTACTTAGATGAGCGACTTCAAAGTTTATCATTTTTAGGCATTATTGAAAGAGAATGGATACTTGATAGTTCAATTTGTTATGTAAAAATAGTTGGTGGTCCACCAGGTCAAGAACGTTTATTGATTGGATTAAAAAATGGACAAGTTATGGAAATTTATTTGGATAATCCATTTCCTACTCTTTTAGCTAAAGTTGATGGACCAATCAGATGTATAGATATAAGTTCTATGAAAGAAAAACTTGCAGTAGTTACTGATAATGGAATTCTTTCTGTGTTTGATATTTTTAATAATAGAAAATTGCAAGAATTTCAAGATGTAACAAGTGTTGCATTTAATACTGCTTTTGAAGATATGATGTGTTTTTCTGGACAAGATTATCTTGCCATAAAAGTAGACAATTTTAATGAATATAAACAAAAATTTTCTGGAATTATTGTTGGTCTTAATGGTTCAAAGATGTATTGTTTACATGAATCATCAATCATTACAATGGAGGTAAATAATTATGATTTCATAATCAATTATTAAAATTAATTAAAAAACATGTTTAATAAATATTTATTTTATAGATGCCATTATCATCATCCATGTATCAATATTTAGAATCAAAAATATTTGATCAAGCTTTTGCTATTGCATGTCTTGGAGTAGCAGATTCTGATTGGTTTGCTTTAGGTGTTGCAGCTCTAGATCATTTAGAATTTGATATAGCCTATGAAGCTTTTGCTAGAACTAAAAAACTAAAATATGTTGAATTGGTATTAGAAATTAAAGAAAAACTCAATTCTGGGGAATGGGGTAAAGAAGCTTGTATGGCTACAGCTGCAGCAGCCTTGGGTAGATTACAAGAGGCAGCAAAACTTTATCAAAAAGCTGGCTTAGAGCAGCAAGCTCTAAATATGTACTCTGATTTAAGAATGTTTGAAATTGCACAAGAATTTCTTACTAGTGGAAATCATCATGATCGTATTACTCTACTCAGGAGACGAGCTGAATGGGCAAAAAGTTTGGGAGAACCACGAGTTGCAGCAGAAATTTTTCTTTCTGCTGGAGATATACAAAGATCTATAAAAATAATATCAGAATATGGCTGGATTGATATGTTGATTAAAGTTGGCAGACAACTTGATAAAGCAGATAGAGAAAATCTTACAATAATTGCTAAAAGACTTAAGCATTTAGGGGCATCTCAAGGAGCTGCTGAAATTTTTAATCGTTTAGGAGACGATTTGGATGTGGCAGATGTATTAGTAGATGCACAAGCATGGCATGAAGCATTTGAGCTTGCATTAAAAAATCCAAAACTTAAGTCGAGAGTATATGGCCCTTATGCAAGATGGCTTGCAGAAACTGGACGATTTTCAGAAGCACAAAAAGGTATGCATAAATTTTATTATTCAACATAATATATATAATAAAATCAAAAGGTTTCTAGCATTTGAAGCATACTTTTTCTATATTTAAAAAATTTGACTTGTTAAATTTTTATAAAATAAAATTCATAATTTTCAATATTTTGTACAAAAACATTAATATTGATTTTCTATTACATTAGCTTTTGAAATGGCTGGACAAACAGAAGAATCAATTTTGGTTTTACGCAGATTGGCCAAAAATGCTGTATTAGAAAACAGATTTAGAGATGCATCATATTTTTACTGGCTTTTATCACAGCTTACACTTAAATTGAAAAAAAGTGCAAAAGAAATTAAAACACAATTTATGATATATTATGAGCAAGCTGACATTTACTACGCTTATCATGAAGTATATAAATATTTGGTATATAATTTTTTTGTATTTTAATATAATTAGTAGAAAATTGTTTGCAGTTGTGATTATATTTTTATTTATAAAATTTAAATAATAATTATATTTTTTATTTGGTTTCTTAAAGGAAGAACCATTTACAGCTTTAATGCCTGAAGCACTATTTAATATATCAAAATTTTTATTGACTAAAATTCAAAATATAAAATTGGAAGGTGTTTCTAAAATAACCATCATATATACATTAATAAAACAGGCAAAATTGTTAGGAGCAAATAAATTAACAATGCAGTTACTCGATTATCTACGTGGAATGAAAATATCAAAACAACTTTTAATACAAATTGAATCCTGGATAATTGCTATAAAAGCATTCCCATACAGAGATCCCGAAGAATTATTACCGCTTTGTAATAGATGTTCAACATATAATGCTTTATTACCTATAAATACTGAATGTAATAATAGTTGTACTCAGTGTGGACTCAAATTTGAGTATTCATATGTTACATTTGGTTAGTTAAATCAATAATTTTTCAAATTACATATATTTAATAACAGTATTTTATGCATTATAGAAATTTTACCACTCGTTGAATTCGAATTAGAACCAGGAATTACTGATGAAGAAGCCAAGAAACTAATTGAAGAATCTTGTCAAATCAATGATAATTCTATTGATACTGTTAATCAGTTTACTCTTCTAAAGAATCAGTCGGATTTATTTATGACTCGATTAGTACAGTATGAGGTATATTAGTAACTAAAATTAACAAAAATAATAAATTATAACAAAATATAATTATTATTTCAATTTTTAATTGTTGCAGGAGAAATTTAAAAATTCAACTGTGACAGTTGGTCGTGGTGTATTGAAAAGTATGGATGCATCTTCAGTATTAATTGTTAAATGGCCTGAACCATTTACTACTCGATATTATAGAAATCTTTTACCTGATTTACAAGTTACATGTTGTAAATCATGTTTCAAGGTAAGATATTAATTTGAAGATATTTTAATTTTAAATAATTTAAAAACATTATGTATCATGTAAATATACTATTATTTTTTAGTTATTTCATACAGATGATTATGAATTAGCATTACTTCGTTATAATCATTGCCCATTTTGTCGAATACCCAGTACTGCTGCTATTAAAAATATATAAACATATTTCGACATAATTTGGCATAATTAGGTTAACTTAAGATAATATTTTTGTAGTTGTAAAAATTAATAGTTACAAAATTGTATTTCGTAAAAAACATTATTGCAAAACCAAATTATAGAGAAATTTGTAAATTAACTCATTGTTATTTCTTTATTTTGCTGATAAGAATTCAGATCCGTATAATAATTATACAAATTTGAGTATTATGTGAATTCTATAAAAGCACTAGTTGGATTAATTTTGTTTCAATACAAATTTATTTACAAATATTAAATATATAATATAATATAATTAAATGGTTCTTCAGTATATTTCAAATATTACAATTTGTTTTTAACAGTTATGTAGTTTGTAAAGTATTCAAGAAATGACAAAAATATCTCATTGATAATAATAGTATGTTTGTAAACTAGTGAAAATTATTGATTTTTTCTTGGAATTAATTTACTGTATTTACTATATCAGTATTGCTGATTCTACCTGAGTAAAGTATGGAGATATTTTATATACTAACCACTAGTATACTACTTAAGTAAAAGTGCGTTCATTAGCTGATTATAAAATTTATATATTTATATATTATAAAAGTTTCTGAATCTGAGTTTGTGTAGGTAGTTTTTCTAGATGTGCTGTAATACATAGTGATAAGGGAGAGTGCTTTTTATTGTATATATTTACTACGCACATATTTACTATGAATTGTAAACATTATTATGTAAATACTAATTTCTAAACAAACACATGTATTTTCTAACTAATAAAATTGCGTTTCTAATTTATGAAAGAATTTAGGAAAGAATATGTTCAAAGACATAAATGGAGATTTTCATTCTATGTAATAACATTATTATTATTATATATCAAAGAAAAATTTTTGAGAAATATGAAATCAAAATTTTATTAGATTCGTTTATGAATTAATAATATATTCAAAATATTGTAATGTTATGTTAATAAATCAAATATTAAATATTTACAGTTAGTAAAACTGGTTTCTTTAATCTAAATATATGACACGATGTAAAATATTAATTTCCATATAAATTTGTAATATGACTGATTAGTCTGTTAATTTTAATAAATAAAAGTTTATAGTAAATAAAAAATAATTCTGTAAATTACTTGACAAAATATATATATTGTATTACAATCTATACAAATGATTCAACAGAATAAGTAAAGTATAGAATAAATGAACTGTGAGTCTCTATATAAGCCTTTGTATCCTCTTATATCACTTACATATCTTTATTTGTATTTGTATTTATTGGAAATTTATATTAAATTTTTAAAACAATAAATTTTCAGTTTTTTTTTATTACATATGCTTGTAGGATTTCTAATCTTAAAATTTCTGAATCTTATTTTCTTTGAATACAGTTTGAATTATTAATTTAAATGGAATTTTTAACAATAATGGTTTTACCACAATGATAAATAAAAAATACAAAATTTACTTTCTTGTATTTAACCATCCTCTATGCTTATTTTTTTAAATGGTCCAGTTTTCTATAATTTTATAATACAAAATTGGACACATGATTTTATCTTTGTTTTAAGTTGAAAATCTATTTTTACTTAATTTAATAATTTTAACCTTTCATTACATGTATATAAATCGGATTATATATATATATATATAATAATTACATTGATTGTAAAACAATTTGTGATAACTACTGAATTAGATAATTGTATTTATTTTCATAAATATAAAATATGAGAAAAAGAAATTAATGCATAAAAATTATTTCTATGAAAACATTTTTATGAATATTATGATTGCATTTTATACAGAGTAACATAAAAATTAAAGATAAAACCAAAACATTGGCCTTAACATAATCTTACATTAAACTAACCAAATACTTAGAATTTAATCATTATTTCATAGATATTAAACTTTAGAATTTTACTGATTTTATTATAACAAAGTCTCACTATGTTAATCGAGTTCATAATCGTAAAAGTTGAATTATTTTAAAGCTTTCACTGTATAATTATTACATGAAACATATAGAATTTATATATAAATATTATAATTATTTTTTTTGTGATTATAAATTTATAATCATTTTCTTCGATTTTGTTTAATTATTAGCCAATATAGAGTCGTTTTAATTTTTAATCTTAGTTGTAGGTTTGCCTTTAAATGTTATATTTAATACTTTTACCCAGAAATTTAATTTATTTTTAATAGACATCTATTTATACAATACTTATAATTGTTTTAATCATCTTTATTATTTATATACTTAATTTATGCACCTACTATGTATGAATTTACAAGAACTAGCTAGAAAGTCAGTAATATTTTTTTTTAAATTATATGGATCAATCTAACAAGTTATTGTGAAATAACTAAAGGTACTAAAAGTAATAATATAATCGATATACTAAACTTGCAAAAACTAATTGACTGAAACACATTAATATTATACATTTCATAATGTATTGTTATCTTTAAATATTTAGTTAGTCCATGTAGATATATAAATTACTATCTGTGATTCACTCAATCAATTGAATTTATTGAATTTATTTAAATTTTAGCTTAATAGCATCCTTGTTTCTTCAATTCTTATTTAGTATCTTAAAATTACTCAGAAGTTGATTTATTAATATTATACTGAAAGCTCGTTTTGCCTATTAATTGTTAGATAGAATTATTAAAAAAATTATGATAGTCAATTTTTTTATTTATTCTTAAAGATTTCTATGGAGTTCACTCTTAATTCATTTGGAACAAGCAGACCTGTTAATCTATAAGAATATACCATGAGTGGTATTTAAGACTGTATATATTTAAAGTAATATTTAATTTAATTACTACTTAAATCCGAAGTAGCCATTCATTAATGAAAATAGTTTTAAGATTATTTTTCTCTTAAGTATTTCTATCTATACCTATCTGGATTAAATTTGTCATTGACATAAAATCATAGTTACTTATTATTGAATAAAATTTGATTCTGAAGAATCGTGACCAGATTTTATTACTAGGACAAAAATTACTTGAAAGTTTCGAATAAAAGCGACAATTGTTAAAGCAACAAAGAAATTTCTCACACACACACACAAGCACACTGCTTACATACTTTCATGTAGGAAATACATACTAATGAAGTAACTCAGTAACCTTTGAGTTAAAAGCAGCAATTAATTTTAATAACCACAGAGCTCTTTTACTAGAAAAGTAATAGTAAATTTTAAATTAAATAATGCTTTCTTTACAAGAGTATCATATGTATATCATATGCTACAATTAAACATCATTCATCAGTGACTCATTGATGTAATTCGGTTAACATGCACGTTCAGAAAATTTTATTTTATTATAATGTATGTGAATCAATTTTTACTTTGTGGATTAATTTAATTTCAATTAATTATTAGTGTATAAATTAATAATAAATTGGGAATAGTTTGTTATAAAAAAAATACATAAAAATAAAATCTTTCTTTCAGATTTGTTAATACTTTACCTGCAAATTCTTTAATTTTTATAAGACTATTTTTGATTTACTAATTTTATGAAATTTGTCTTTGAAGCTTTTAATATTTTTGAAAGCTAATCAACGATTTTCCCACTGACTGGTGAACTATTTAACTAATTTTTATATTTCATTTTTATTGTAATTGTGTCATTATACTTGTGTTTAAGTTGTACTTCAATCAGTTAATCAGCTTTATTTATGATGCTTTCAATTATAAAACTTAAAATATTTGATTATAACGATAACAATTATTATAATTATTTTTCTGAATATTGATAAATTAATCATTGATTTTCAATAATAATTTATTATAATAATTAAAGTGATGATATAAAAATTTGTATAATGATATTAAATACATCATTTCTTTTAAATTTTATTAAAATGAGTAATTATTTCATTTGCTTTAGAACTGAGAGATTTTTTTTAATACTGTACTTCAGTATTAGATATTATAATAAATAAATAAATTTAAATATGGAACTTTAAACAAGCCTTATTTAAGCAATAGCAAATGTGCGCATGTGCGCGCGCATACGCATACATGCAATTATAAAATTGTAAATTTTATGAAAATATTTATGAGTACTTATTAATATTAAATATAAATTATAATGTAAGTGTAAATTCAAACTTATTTTATTTTTCTGTTAATGTTTAACTTATAATATTAGGTACACTTCAGATAATAAGTATAAGGGAAATAGCAGAGATCTATTATGATTTTAAAAATATTATATAAATAATGGTGTGTTTGATAGATAACAATAGATAATAATTTTAATTTGTGATAACACTAGTACGTATTATTAAAGTATGATTAAATATTACTTTTATAAAGTCAAATTTATAACAAATTTAAGTAATATATTTATTATTTTAAAAATATTCATATTATTTTGTACTTATTTGAGTAAAATATGACAATATAGATTTAGATTCATCAACATAAAAATTTTGCAAAACAAATTTTATACCCAAAATTAATAACTAAATCGTATAGTTAAATTATTATAGTTACAAAAGTATTGTAAACAAACATTATTTTCAGCTACAATAATAATACAAAATGTAAGATGTTATCAATAATTTTTTGGTGACAATCTTATTTTACTGATTCCTAGAATAGATTTTTCTTTAACATATATATATATATATATATATATATATATATATATATATATTACTGAGTTAATATTTTCTATTTAATATAAATTTTACAAAAATGTAGCTAATTTTTTAATTTTTTTTTTTACATATTTAAAGGTTAATAAACGAAAAATATATAGAATTATTTAATTATTTATTTAAGTAAACACTACCTGAATGAGAATCAACCTTTTCTTTTACTGCATTATACCATGTACCTAGATTTGTATTTATTAATGCATCTTTGAATGCTTGACAACCTTCAATTGAATTCAAGACTCCATATACTGTAAGATCACATAAATCTGGATTTAAGCCACCCATAAATATGCCTCCTTTGATTTTAATTTCATACAGCCAAATATTTATCTCATCATAAAATGATTCACGAACATTATCTTTTAAATTGTGTCTTTTTTTCAGTCTTTTTGAAATCAGCCACATTGCAAAGGCTCCAACATGAACCATTATTGCTTGTTCCCAAAATGGAAAGTATTCATCCCAGTGACCAACCTAAACCAAACATACAAAAACATATGTATATATACATTTATCCTGTTAATATATTAATTAATTTCATTATAATTAATTTAATAATAGCCATACATTAATAATTATTATTTAAAACCTATATAAACTGGTACAAAATGTAAATATTCTTTTTTTTGTATTTAAAACATAACTTACTTTAGAAAACCAATTAAATGTTTGGTATGCTTCTTTTAATGTTCTATAAACATTTGGTGAAAGAGTATGTATAAAAACATTATCCGTCCATTTTCTCCACTTATATTCTTCACTACAAATTAAATAAAATAAATTACCAATGTGGTAAAATTATTTCGTGAAATATTAAAAATAATTTACTTGATATGATTCAAATCTTTATCTTGAAACACAGAGTTTGGATACATAAGAAAATATTTATTAACAATTTCATGTTTAAATTGTCCTTTCTCATTGTACATTACCATTGTTGGATAAAACTTTGCAAGTTCATTAATTTTAACAGATTTGGAATTTAAATAGGATGTTAAAAGTGATACAATCATTGAACTATCTGTTAATATTTGGTATTCTCTATCAATTTTTACAAGAAGAATTGGAACTTTCCTATAATTTGACCAACTAATTTCTTGTCTGAACACAGGATCAACTTCTACAACATCGTATGATAAACCATAATAGTCCAATAAGACTCTTACCTATATATAAATTAATATAGACAAAAATTTGTATTATATTGATAATATAAAAAATTTAAATAATTTTCCATTTACTTTGCAACAAAATGGACAAGATTGATATTGAAACAATGTCAACTGTAATCCAGTATTATCAATATGAGAAAAAACCTAAAAAATTAAAATATTACTTTTTATATATAACAATTTTAATTATACAAATTTTATTAAATATATTTAATTGTTTTTATTTTAATAAATTTAAAATTCTTAAATCTATAAATTACTCAAATATTATTGATTAGAAATAGTATTGACTAGTAGAACAGAATACAAATTTTCATTTCTTTAACATTGAAATTAATTTAAATATGAATAAAAACAATACATGGAATTGAAAACAAACCATTGGTATTATAATTTTGTACTTAATAAATTCATAAATTTGGAGTTTTTAAATTTATTGTTGAAGGGTTTTTATGTATTAAAATCAAAGTACAGACAATCACAAATTAAAATCACAGTGCAAACAAGTAAATGTAGAGTAATTAAGTTGTTTCTCTATACAGAAATTATTATACGTATAAACCATTTTCATACTGTTCTGGATAGTTTAACATCTGGTTTGTGTTTTAGTAGTTTTGTTCCTACTATAGTGCCTTCTAAGGCTAATTTCTGTTTGGCACTTGCAATTTCTTTTAAAGCATAGCCTATTCCAAGTGCAAAACCAACAGCAGTACCAATTAAACTGAATTTAAAATTATTTTTAGATTTAGGTTGTTCAATGTATGTACACAAACTACGAATTGTTAACGAATTTAATATAGAACGATTAAACCGAATAAATTCATTAAAACATTTGGTTTTTCTTAAAATAATATGCAATCTATGAAACGCAGCCATTTTTAAAAATTATATAAACACAAAGAATTCACTTAAACACCCCTGCCGTCGAGCTGCTGAACTAGCAAAATTGTAAAAAATACATACAATTACCTCTTAATCGAAACATTTCCAGTAAGTTTGTAATTTAATAGCTGTAATAAAATGATTTAAGGCTATTTCTTAAAAAATTTCTGGCACAGATATCTCATGAAATTCATTCTAATTTTGTCTAATAAATTAAATTATATTATAATTTTTTTGAAGAATGAATAAATTATTAAATTCTGAACCATATCTCTAAAGGCAATACAAATTTTGGTAAATCGTATTTTAACACTTGTTACCGATTACAGTAGTTTTAAGCGGAATGCAAAGTGGGAGAGGTGTGAGCGCGCGAACATTTGTTTGTAAATATTGGCCAACGGACTCAAAGAATGCTTCTAGCCGAAAAACTCGAATATACGACTATAATTCCGAGAAGTAATAACAAATGAACCCTACAAGGCTATGCCTTATTGATGTCACGACAAATATCGGCATAGTAACAGCCACCGATGCGTTATCGACGCATCCAGTTCGTACGAGAATATTGTATACAGTATTGAATAATTGCATTGCCCCTTCCATTTGCCAGTATATCTCCACTCACCATCATAGGGAGGTTTTTAGTCTGATCTCAGACAATTTGGTCCTTCGAGCCGGATAAGTGGAAATCAGTGCATGCGTCCAATACTATACTAAGGGAAAATAATCATAATTATAACAACAGTGTAAACGGATCACTGATTACAAAAAAGAGAGTTTTCTTCACTACTGTAAGTACACTATTACTGCTCTTATTATAATAACATGTCTTCCAAGACAAAAGGGAGATCAAGGATTCAGTAGGTGCAACCACGTGCAGCTCATGGAGCACAAACTCCAACATGGATGAGATATCATCTATGGAAGACACCAGGGATGAACACATAAGATATTCGCAATGGAACTTAACTCGCTTGAAAACACCTGGCCAACGACAGGTGTCAACCACAAATACTGTACAAAGGGTGCAGTGGAAGAAGAGGCTACATGCTGTGCTACTGCAAAAGCGAATGTCAGAAAGCCGTGTCAAGAATTAGGCGAATCAATACAAACAAGCAAAATTACCAAGCCTGAAGAGAAGGCACATGCAGTAGAACCATGAGAAATGGCTCATCTACCCGACATAACTATTCCAAAATCCTTAGAAGACATGGAGGCATCAATGCAATACGATATTCCAAATGCAGGGAACTCCATGCCAGTGAACGTAGCCTTAATTCACGTCAACGACAAAACAAAAACGACATAGGAACGATCACTGGCGAGCACCACTACATACCCAAGGCTTGCGCAACTGAACTTATTTACACCAATTCAAGAAATTCATCATTAAAGAACGAAGGCCGTTACAGCGGTTCCCGACAATGTATGTAAGATACGCCGACGCTCGTTCTTACGACTACGACTACAGCGGTTCCCGCCAACACATGTAAGCAACGCCGACGCTCGTTCTTACGACTACGATTACAGCAGTTCCCGCCAACACATGTAAGCAACGCCGACGTTCGTTCTTAGGACCACGAATACAGCGGTTCCCGCCGACGTTCGTTCTTACGACCACGACTACAGCGGTTCCCGCCAAAGCATGTAAGATACGACCAGACGCTCGTTCTTACATCCTACCTCTACTCATCATTACACACCTGATAACTTTTAAGATTTATTAAAGAAAATTCATTTATGAAGTTCATAACAAATTATAGATATGTTTAATTAAAGGAAAAGTAAATGAATTTATGTAACAGAGAATTAAACAAGGATATGAAAGAAAATATTTCTAATTAAAATGAATAAAAAGTTTATATAATAAAGAAACAAATGTAATTAAATATTTAGATGTAGTATTTGTTAAAAATTTATATAAAAAATTAAATGAAAATACAAAGTAATAAATATATATCTACTGGAATAATTAAATATCTATATTAAAAATTGAATGACTAATATATGTAAAAAGAAAAGTGAATATCTTCTATTTTAATATAAATAAAATGTTAGTATAATATACAAAAATAATTATTATGTCTATCAAAACAATTAGTTGAAATATATAAAAAATAAAAACAATGAAAAGCATCAAAACCTTGATTTTTGGAAAGTAAATCATTTTTAATAAATATTCCATTTAATTTTAATAAAAATATAACAATACAAAATAATTAAATACAAAATGTTTCAATATAACAAAAACTAATATACATATATATTCAAACATATGGACTTTGTATTTATATATTTTCAATTAATATTATTAAAATTGTTTTTATTTATGTTTGTGATAATCATCTTTCTTTGATATTAGTCTTAAAATTAGCAACATTGATATTACTTGTAGCTTCACATTAAAAATTTAATTAATTAGTTATAAATTTGACATCAAATATCGTAAATCATGAATAATTAAATAGACTGATTCAGTACAGTATGACATATTTTTATGAGGACAATAAAAAATTATCAATTAAAAAAAACACTATGTTTTATTCTAATCATATTTATCTTAATATTAGAATTATAAGTTTTTAATAACAATTTCATGTTTTCATTTATCAATATTTTTTAATATTTTAGTTAACATTTTTATTTTTACAATATTAATATTTTATACAGAAACTATTAGATTAGTCATGGAATATTCTTTCTTATATTATATTAATTAAATACATTCTAAAAAAGATTATATTTTTATTGTATTAATTGTGTTGTATTTTATACTTTTTAGTAAATATTTAATTTTAAAAATACATGTGCATGATAATTATTTATAATTACTATATAATATATAATATAATATACTAATAGTATCAATACACAATAAGCATTTTGTGATTAAGCAATTTAAGTTGATTTCTTAATAAAGTATATAAGTTTGACATAATTAAATTTTTTTTGCAAATATACTATTAAAAAAAGGACTAGCTTTACACAAATACTTTTTTGCAGTTTTTATTTAATAAAATTATCAAAAGTTTTATAAGATATGTTATGGATTACAGCAGTTTTAAGCGGTATACAAAGTGGGAGATGTGAAGACACTTGTGCTTAGTTAGAAACATTTGCGCGCCGAGTCATAAACACAATTCTGTGAAATCGGAAAGCTTCACTACGCAAAGTATTCGAATATTACACTATAATTCCGACTAACAAGGCCGACGAACTCCCCAAGGCTAGACTCTGGTGACGTCACTCTAACAATCGGTATGGCAAGAGTGATCTGGTAGTTACCGGATCCGCAAGCTTGTACTAGGATATTTAAAGAACTGCGCTTGACGTTCTCGCTCTTGCTAGTACCAATCACGCATTCTCCACATCGGGCTTGCTATCCAATCTGCAATCGCCATTATGAAGCCATAGCAAGCATCAAGCAACCTAAAGAACTAATAGCGATGCCACAACTATACGGGCACCCACGCCTCCGTAAGCAAAGCACCAAGCTCGTTCCTTAATACTACTGTTACTAGTTCAATCAAGCATTCTTCACGACAGGATCGCCATTCTACAGATCGGCTCCAGCCCGTACGTAAGCTACGTCATCAAGCTCGTTCTTATGTCTTACTAATACTACAGAGATCGACTTTAGCCCGCACGTAAGCTACGTCATCACACGTTCTTACATCTTACTAATACAACGGTTCCTGTCAACTACGTAAGCAGCAACACACCACGAACGCGCACCAATACCATCGTTACATCTAATCTCACGTACACATACGCTGCAGCGCATCACGAGCATCAATCACCACTATAGATATAAGAGCGGTCCTCGCGTTTACTTAAGCACCGCACACTATCTATACCTCGTTACACCGATACGAGTAAATGTTTCACTCCGTCAAGCAGTGACGTCACACGGACATCCTCCCACAACCAGACCACTACAGCGCTCACCCTACGCCAATGGTTAAGGCGGCCCCAACTCGCTGCCCCTACCAGCACGAGTCTCCCACTACTACTACTAAACTCATAAGGAGAAGGAGAATCAAGAATATACTTACAGAATTATCGCCATTAATATTAATTGAAGCAACTCTCATCTATTCATTATCTTATACATTCAATTCGATATCCATAGATCATTGACTATTTATTATATTTATTATATTCAATAAAGGAAAGGACAAAAAACTCTAAAGGCAGTATTGATTTATTGCATTGCCCCTTCCACTTGCCAGCAGCCTCGACCCACCATCAGAAGAGGCATTTAGTCTGATCCCAGATAAGATATAAATATTGAAAATTTGTAATTAGATAAAAAGCGAATTTTTATTGTTTGTTTAACAACTACAATTGATTAAGTCCAATTATAAATGTAGTAAAATGGCATAAATAATAAAACGTGTGTATTGTGTACAAACGTTTTATATATATTTTTTAATCTTTGAAAAGTCTGAGATTACTTAGGGTAAATTGAAATAGTTATAGCTAATTGAGAAATTATACCATTTGAAAGTTAAGAAAACCTGCATGATGATTTTTCAAATAATATATATTTCATCATTTTTTATTTATTGTTTAATCATACAAAAATTTTAAAAATGTATTTAATAACTTCAGATATTATGTATCATAACATTCGTATATAGAATATACACAGTTGAAAGTAACAAAGTGAGGAGCCTTATTATTTTTAAATATGTTTATGTTTTAATAAATTAATAAATAAAATCTTATTATTTACAATAAACTTGATTGTTAAAATAATTAATATATATTATAGTATATTTAGAATTAAAATTATAAATTAGATCCACGTTCACTTAAGAGAGGATATAATGATATAATAAAATTAATTTATAATATATGTTGTAATTTCACTATAAAATTTAATAGAAAAAGAAATATCTATTTAAGAAAAATAAATAACTTTGCAACTTGTTTGCAATATAATTAATAATAGTATAAAAAGTAAATTATTTTTAACTATTCTGAAATTATAATATTTTTTAAAAAGATTAATTTTTAAAGGAGAATACTATTTATTTTAATAGATAATATTTAGATCCGGCCAGCCTGTTATTTTGCGGGAATATTTTGAGGTGTAAGATATTTGAAAACAATCGAGTGAAAAACATTTCCTAAAATCTATTGCAACCCGAAACTCGGCACGTGCGATGTTCGGCAATCTGCGCCGCACGTGTGCCTTCAATGCCACCAACAAGCATGCATTGTTGTCAAGTACGATAAATGTTGCTGCTTGCATAGGCCAAGCGAAGACGCTTGACCAAAAATCACTCCCACCACGATAAGTCTCGGAGAGGGACAAATCTTCCACTTCACGCATTGCCACCAGAGATACTCCTTCGATATTCTCATTGTCTAAGCCTAATTTCTTATGAAGTGGGAAAAGGGCGTGCACATTCATCATGCCGCCGAAAAGCGACGCGCCCTGATTGGAAAGCTAAGACCAGAAGCTCCTTGAGTGAGGACTCATGGCTAGAGGCCTTAAAGGGGAACAAGGCCGCGAAAAGTCGCGGGGGACAATTGGAACACGCTGTCCGCGTAGGCAGCCAAGGACTGTCCGCAGAGAGAATTCGAGAAAAAGGCTCGCGTGGCAGTCAAGGGCTATCTCAAGGTAAGTCAAGTAATAGAGACTAATTGTCAATAGAAGCCAAGTATAAAGATAACTCAACGCAGAAATACGTGTTACTAATTCAGAACAAGATTACTGCATCCCTGTGAGTATAAGAGTCATCCTGCACGCATTTGCTTTGCCGCGTGCTCTTGTGACCAACTCACCGCTGGATCAGATCAAGACTACAATATCGCTGTGACTACACAAATCCACGTTATCTACTCAATTATTGCCAGCCGGCGGCAAAACTGGCACAACACAATCATTAACATATCAAACTCTCTGACAAGAAGTGTCCAGTAATTATTTACCTGTGCAATTGTAATTCAACATCAATTCGACGATTTCAAGGCATCTTGTGTAGTGACACTTCCTATATAAGAAGACGTTCAAGAAATCGTATCTTCACATAAGATTCAAGAAGATTGTACAACACCCATATGTAAATTGTGTAATAAATTGTATAATAAATGTATAATTAACCAACTCTCACGACTCTTGTACAGCCCCTCCATCTCCCTCTTTCCCAAGCGTCTGCCAGGGTGGGCGGCAAATTAAGCTATTAAAGCATTGGCAGTTCAAGCCAAGAATTACATCACTATAATTTCGAACAAATACATATCTTTTACATGTATCAAAAATGTGGTTTCAATGTAATATTTCTAAGTGTAAAAATTATATTTTTCAGAAAAATATATGAGTTGGCGTTTTTTTATTTAATACAGCCATTCAAGAGTGGGTTGCTTGATTATCATCATATTTTCAATCTATAATGCATTTTTATATATTTTTTTCCTTTTAATTATTCCTTCGCATATTTTAAATTGATTAGTATTTACTTTGATTAATTTTGATTTAAAATGAAAATATAGTTTACACCGTATCTTGTATCAACTGATTATATTAATTTTAGTTAAGGATTAAGTCGTATTATTTGTTTAAGTATTATGTATGGTATAATAATATATGTAGTTAATAATTGAATATTCTTGTGCTTTATGAATGTACAGAAGCAGCATATAAAAGATTTGGCTGTAGTAAAAAAATAAATGCGAAATTCGTCTGTAAACTCTGATAAGAAAGAATCGACTACAATAAGTTGTAGATCTGGTAAACATCACTGAAATGTAATTTACACATTGCATAGTTCAATCAAACATTTGAAAAACATGGTTAAACATTGATTCTTAAGGAAAGTACTTTGTAAAGCAGAAATGGAATCTTAGACATAAATTAATTTCGTACTCATGTTGTTGGTTTAATAAATATTATAGTTAACGTACTTTTATACATCGCTGCATTACATATATTAAAAAGATCAACACTACCCTATACGTGGCGAATCATAGAACTAATATTTTATCCGAAAAACTATAACTTTATCGAAGTTACAACGGTTAACATTACTGTAATTTAATTCTTCCGGCCACAAGAAAACAATTAACTGATCTTGAAGAAATGCTTAAGAAAATCAGTTAAAAACAAAAAATTTATGTATAAAATATGTTTGAACGCTAATGAATGATGAAATTATGCATTTTCATTCTACACTGTAGAACTCCAGTTGTAAATTTTAGAATCAAATGATATAAACGCTGTTTATAAGTACAGGTAATGACTTTTATTAAATCAAATATAATCAATTCGTATATATTGATCCCTGTTTAATTTATTCAATGTTTAATCTTAGTTTTAGCCCATGGATTAAAATATTGTTTTATTGTAATGAACCATTTTGTAAGGTGAAAACATCTATTTTACTAATTAATATTGTAACAGAAATAATGGTAGAGGAATTCTATATAGAATATCGATATAAAAGGTATTATTTCAAGCATCAAAATATGAATTGTTTTTTAAAAACTACTATTAAAATTAAAAGGGTTTTATTTTCAGCAGCATTATATAATTAAGTATACAACATGTTAATTATGAACACTAAAAATTATTCAGATATAATATAAATAATTACTACTATTAATAGATAGTTTAAAGGAAATAAATTTGTTTAAATCGTGCTTGTATAAAAAATTGAATAAAATTGAGTTTATTTTTTTTCTACTAATTAAACATATTTTTTTACAAATAAAATGTATACCATGAAATCGTATTTTGAAGTATATATATTTTGTATTGAGTAAATATATTCATAAATACATAATACGTTATTAAATATATTAATAAGTTACAATTATATCGGCAATCATATAAAAATATTTGAAAAAATACTTGAAACAGTTATTAGGCAAGAAAATTATTTTTTTATTACAAATTAAAAATTTTTATGTTAATTTAATTAATACTTAATTAATTAGTAATTAATTTAATTAAAATGTATTAATATTTCATTTATTTAAAAAAAATATAATAATATTTTATATTTTAGTATTTGTAAACTATTTTAAATATATACATATAAATTATATATTTTGGAAAACAGATAGTTTAGGATAGTGTGAATTAGTATTAAAGAGTACGTTGATAGTATACCTTTTCAAAGCATGCGCGATAGAAGTTCAAATTTAACGACTATTTCTTTAATCCTTGAATTTTAATATCTTAGATTTATGAATGATATCAAATTTAAAATAAATTACTTATTGTTTTTAATTTTATTTTTATATTAATATTTTAAAAATATAAATTAAATTATTAAATATACTTATTAGTCTGATCTATTGCTTTTAAATTTTTTATTTAAATATAAAAGTGATTAATATTTTTATTTTTATTTAAATGGATATTAGCTATGGCCCTTTATAACGTAATAAATTAAATAAAAATAAAACATTTTTTCTAGGGAAATCATATACTTTATTATACTTACTTCTTATTACTATATTAATTACTACTATACTAATATACTATGTATAATCGATAATATTTTAATAAAATATTACATACATATTTTTCATGCCGAGCAAGTCATTGAGAGGGAATAAACTTAGATATTAACTGTGTATGCTAAAACAAGGTGGAGTTGGAGCTAATTGAAATATTGAAGGACGAGTTATAATTGTATAGTATATAGCAGAAAAAATATAAACATGGTGAGCGACCGGTGAAGTGTAATGCCCGTGTATTGACATTGGAGTTCCCTGAATTTTACTCGTTAAATTAATTATTATTTTATGAATGAGATATGGCTCATCAATTGTTATTCTCAACTACCAAGTTGGAAAGATTGTTGTTTGGTCGATTTGATTATTTTCAGGTACATTCTAAATTTTTTTAATCAACTTAACCTATATTATCAGTTTTCGATGATCTAATCACGCAATTAATTGTATATGTATATATATATATATATATATTTAAAAGAATATTGTTTTTTTTTTAATACAGTACAAAATTTATATTTGTAGTTTATTACTATTAGCTGCAATTTTTTTATGAATTAATAGTAATTGATATGTTTTTAGTCATGGAGAAAAGTATCATTAATAAAAAATTGTTACAAAATGACAACATTTGAACTAGTTCACCAATATTTCAAAGCTCCCAAGGGTTTCGAAAAATTTTTCAAACATCCCAACAACTTAAAAAAAGTTTCAAAGGAAAATCCTAAAGAAGTTTTAAAAGAAACTTCCAAAGAAGCTAAACCTTCAATTAATAGTACTAATAACACACAAAACGAGGGATCTAAGAATAAAAAATTTTCATCAAATGATAAAAAAGATTTTGTTTTTAATTTTGTTTCGGGAAAAAAAATCAAGAATGAAGGGCCTTCTAAAGAAATAATGAACTCAATATATTTGGCAATATTTGGAATGGTTACTTTATTTGGAGTTAAATTATTTTTAGACAATGGAAAAGCAGTTACATGGAGAGAATTTGTTTATAGGTAATTTTAATCAAATTTTTATTAACAGGTTCAGGGTTATAAAAAGAATGTTCAGTTTTAATTAATAATTATAAATTAAAAAAAACTTGAACATAATTCTAGAACATTACAAACAATTGTAATAAATGGTGCTAATGTAACAATGAACCTAACAAATTAATTAAAGCTGTATAAAACTAAAACATTTATTTGACTACAGTTACTTAAATAAAGGATTAGTACTAAAATTGGAAGTAGTTAATAAAAAATGGGTACGGGTTCGATTAATTCCAGGTGCAACTATAGAGGTATGTAATGTAGTTAATTTAAACATGAATTTTATATTTAAGTACTCTTATTTATAATATAGGGTAAATTATGGTTTAATATCGGTAGTTCTGATACATTTGAAAGAAATTTAGAAAATATTCAACTTGAATTAAATATAGATCCACAAAATTATATACCAGTTGTTTATAAAAATGAAATAGAAGTTTCACAAGTGATCTCTTATCTTCCAACTATTCTTACTATAGGTAAATTTTTCATTTTTCATTAAATTACAGCATGCATGCACGTGTATATACATGTGCCTTTGTATAAAATGAATAATCATTTGTATATATATATATATATTTATAGCTTTTATAATTTATATATCTCGGAATACTGCTAATATGATCAGTGGTAAAGGAGGTCCCAGTAAAGGAATTTTTGGACAAGTAACATCATCAACTGCTAAATTAATAAATCCCAAAGAAATACATGTTAGATTCAAGTTAGTTTAAATTAATTTTTTAATTTTAATTATGATCTATGAAATACATATTTTAAAAATTGAATAAGCTTTTATTGACTATTTAATACTAATTATGTCAGGGATGTTGCTGGATGTGAAGAAGCAAAGATTGAGATTATGGAATTTGTAAACTTCCTAAAAAATCCAGAGCAGTATATTAATCTTGGGGCCAAGATTCCTAAGGGTGCAATTTTAACAGGTATAAGTTTGTAAGACGCATAATTTATAAATTATAAATCTATATTTTAACTTTGATAGGCCCTCCTGGTACTGGTAAGACATTACTTGCTAAAGCAACAGCAGGTGAAGCAAGCGTATCTTTTTTAACAGTGTCTGGTTCAGAATTTCTGGAAATGTTTGTTGGAGTTGGACCATCACGTGTAAGAGATATGTTTGCTATGGCACGTAAAGCTTCACCTTGTATTTTATTCATTGATGAAATTGATGCTGTTGGTAGAAAAAGAGGTGGAAAGCAATTTAGTTCTCACTCTGAACAAGAAAATACATTGAATCAACTCTTGGTAGAAATGGATGGTGTGTATATTAAATTTGTTTATTATTTATGTATTTTACTCATTAAATAAATTTTATTTACAAAAGGCTTTAATACAACAACAAATGTAGTTGTTATGGCTGCAACAAATAGAATTGATATACTAGATAAAGCTCTTTTACGACCAGGCAGATTTGATAGGCAAATATATGTACCAGCACCAGATATTAAAGGAAGGGCTTCTATTTTTAAAGTTCATTTACAATATTTAAAAACCAATTTAGATAAAATGAACTTGTCTAGAAAAATGGCTGCTCTTACTCCTGGTTTCACAGGTATTTTAATATTTTACTAACATAATTATTTTAAATTAATCAAAAAGAAAAATTTAAACTATTTTTAATATATAGGAGCAGATATTGCAAATGCTTGTAACGAAGCAGCTTTAATAGCTGCACGAGATAAAAATGATAGTATAAATTTAAAACATTTTGAACAAGCTATTGAAAGAGTTATAGCTGGTATGGAAAAGAAAACAAATGTTTTACAACCAGAAGAAAAGAAAACTGTTGCATATCATGAAGCTGGACATGCTGTAGCAGGATGGTTTCTTCAACACGCAGATCCATTATTAAAAGTACCAATTTATTATATTTTCATTTCCTTTTGTAAATTAGTTCTGATTCATTATGTATCTATATATATATATATGTTTTTTTCAATTATTAATTATAAATATTATACGTTACTTATAGATTTCTATAATTCCTCGTGGAAAAGGTTTAGGATATGCTCAGTATTTACCACGTGAACAGTTTTTGTACACAAAAGAGCAGTTATTTGATCGTATGTGTATGACTTTGGGTGGCAGAGTTTCTGAAGAAATTTTCTTTGGTTGTATAACAACAGGTGCACAAGACGATTTACAAAAGGTAGATATATTTTAATTTATATTTTTTATCTTAATATTATTTCTAATAAGTTAAATATTTAGATGCAGAAAAAATAAAGAAATATAATCTAAGGAATCTTGTAAAGAAATTATAATGTGCTCTGTTTACTGAAGAAAATAAATAGATGACTAGGAAAAATAATTAATTTATTAATTAGCAAATTATATATATATATATATATATATATATATATATTGGAAAAGCTGTTACATAATGTACTCACGTCACGTGCCGAGTAAGTACATCAGGGCCGTAGTCAAGATTGATATAGTAGCGCTGCACTTTTTTGCACGATTTTATTTTATTGCGGCAAATACTATTTAATCACTGCAAAAGTAGGTCCACTTACCGATTTAAAAAAAGAACATAATAAATGTATTTACCTTTTACTTACTCAAATTAAATGATATATTAATATTATTTTTTATAAATCTATTAACAGTGCAATCTTAATTTTTAAAAATATCATAGTTTAAATTATAATTTTTATATTTTAATAAAACTTATAGTAATAGCAAATTTCAAAATAATCTTTAATATTTTTTAAATTAAACGAAATTTAATTTTTGTATGTTAAAAGTTTTTATTAATTTGAATAACAATAAATCTTAGGTTACACAGAGTGCATATGATCAAGTTGTTCATTATGGAATGAACGAAAAAGTTGGATCAGTTAGTTTTCAATTACCGCAATCTGGCGACTTCTTGATCGACAAGCCTTATTCTGAAAGTACTGCTCAACTTATTGATGAAGAAGTTAGAAATATGATTAATAATGCATATAAACATACTACAACTTTATTAACGAAGCACAAAGATGATGTAAATAAGGTATGAAAGTAACCATACAGATTAATCACTATATATCAATAATATACATATTACAATACAAAAAATATACATAATATCAATTCATGTAGAATATTGATAAAAGATACATTCACAGATTAAATTTTTGTACATTTTATATATGTGCATGTGTGTATTTATAATATTTACATATTTTATAAAAAATATAGATAGCCGAACAACTTTTAAAACAAGAAATTTTAAGTCGAGATGATATGATAGATCTACTTGGACCAAGACCATTTCCTGAAAAATCCTCTTATGAAGAATTTGTTGAAGGTACAGGATCATTTGAAGAAGATACAACATTGCCAGAAGGTCTAAAGGAATGGAATGAATCCAAGAAAACTAGTGATGAAAAAACTGATAGTAATTCCATAAAGCAAACTGTTTAATTATGGGTTATATTAATATTTATATATTTTCTTTTATAAATAGTACCAATAAATCTTTATGAAAACTTTTTATAATTTTCAAAATACATTTTTAAAATTTATAATTTTAATTTTATTCAAGTTAAGCAAAATAAATTTGTTGCACTTGAACATACCATTTGTTAATTATATAATATAGGAGTATTTATGAGATCAATTTTTCTAAATATAAATGGTTCATAATATTTTGAAATCCAACTTTTTTAATTAAATAATGAAATTATGAAAATAATACTTTTTTTATTGAATTAACTAAATATTCATTAATACAATAACATAAAAAATTATTGAATAAGAATAATAGAGAAACAATCAAATATATTTTAGAATATCTATTTTTCTGCATTATTGTAAGGTATTGGAATTTTATAAAAAATTTATAAAAAAAACTTGATTTTTGGCATATTTATAATTTTTTTAAATGCATAATTCGATTTAACAAAACTACCTTGTTTGTCTCTTTATGTCTAATACAATTTCACTGTAATATATATTTGATACTTTTGTATATATGTAAAATTTTTGTTAGGTATTCATTAAATCTAAGGCCTACTTAGTTATTTATTTACTGAAACAGTAATGAACTGAAAACTACTTTGAAAGTACACATATTACTAACATTATTCTGAGTATATTAAAAAATTGAAACTGCAACAAAAAAAAAGAGTTATTGCAGAGAATAACTTTATAATACATACTAAAAATACTTAGATATTATAATGTATATTTTATTGAATTTCAGTATAACATTCTATATTTGTTACATACAACTTTTAGTTTAGTATATGAAGCGACATTAAATTGGAGTGTTTTTTTTTGTAAAAGTATTCTCAAAAACTTTTTTTTTACCTTGTACATGCATTATTATTATATATACATTATGATTTGAATATTAAAGAAATTAATTCATAAATTTTTTTAAATATTTTAGAAAACGTATCATTTAACACAAATAATTTGATTTTATAAATCTTTAAAACACATTCTTTTAGAGCAATATATTATATTTTTTGCAAAATATGACTAATAGAATTAATATATCAATAATGTAAGTAGTATGTTTAGTTTAATCGATTGATTTGTTAATAATACAATAAAAGAGTAGTTATTGTTGTATAAGTAAATTCATACTCAAATTAATGTTACTTTTATTAATTTTACAATATTTCTTTGTGTATTTTTTATGATCTGATCTGTTTACATTCTATTTAATAATTTTTTTTTGTAATGTACCTTTTATGGTTTTACCGAATTTTTTAATAATTTTTTCAATTTTTGCAAAATTATATGTCGACTCAATTGAGTAGCTATAATGGACTTGCAAAGTATTACCATACAACTTTGTTAAATACTAATTATCAATAGAATATTGTAATGTCACTGAATTATTGCTGTCCTGTAATTTATATCACACTGATTTACGCATTATAGCCTTATTCAATAATTTTTATTAAGAATTTATTTTACTGATTTAAGCTCTAATTATTCCGTAAAATAATATGAAATAATATTAAATTACAATTTTTTTATAATATGACTATTAAATTAAAGCTGCTTAAAGAATGACGATTTAAAAAATTTTTCAAATGTAAATAAAAATAAATAAGTTACAATTAAAATTTTTTTAAAAATAAGTAATTTACAATTGAAAATATTTTTAAAATAAATAATATATAATGATAATTGTATTTTGCTGAAATAAAACATTAATCTAATTTTTGTTTTATCTATTAATTATATATTTAATTATTATAAAAAATTATCTTTCACGATTAAATTTTTTTATTTTTACTTTTTTTAAAACTATATTGTTAAGAATATTTGTAAAAAGCATTTAAAACTAAATCTTTTCTTAATTAATAAATAATACAAATGACTTTCTTAAAATCGTAAAATATGTTTGAAATAAAAATGATTAATAATTATCAGTATACCGAAAATAAAACAATTTTTTGTATTCTTTCAATAGGTTTTCAAAATGTTTTTATAATACATTATACGATTAAATATCAGAAACTTACAGTATGAGATGTAAAAATGTATTTCATATCGTTTTCTTTTTATGAAATATTAATAAATACAGTTCAAACACTATAAATATCAAGTAGTTATTAATAAATGATAAGGAATATAAATTATATACATAAACATTATATACTAAGTTTTACTTTTATATTTTTATATATTTATTTTATATATTTATATATATATAAATATACTATTATATTTTTATTAAATTTCATTTTTTTGTAAATATAAATGTTTACGTATATTAAAAGTATTTTATTAATTCTTTATTTAGCTTCACAAATTAAATTATATTATTATAAATATAACAAATAAAAGTTTATAAAGTGATTTTATATATTGATGCATCTATTAATTTTTTTATATTTATTAAATATATTGGGATGCTATATTAGGATTATATGAAACATTACACATCATTATTAAATAGTTTTTTTAAGATTTAACACATATTTATTGTGATAGAAGTATTCAGAGACATCAATTTGCTATTTGAGTGGCTAATGCAAGAATGAATTACAAGTGTATTTTATAAAATTATTTTTTTGGCATTTTATTCTTTAAATTTCTTATCGTTTGCTTTTAATAGTTTTGACACATTCTACATACCTTTCTTATTCTTATATTTGTATTTATCATTTGTAATGTTTACGTATATCTGTATATGACGATCCTGAATTAACGATTCTGCTTATATGTTTGGAATAGAAATATAAGTTTCTTGTTTTTCTTATTTATTTTCTATGAATAAATAAAAAATATATATTTATTACATTCATAAACATTTTAATAGTTGCACTAGTCAATGATTTATGAAAATTTAAATAAAATCTCACAGTGGATACATTTATAAATTGAATTGTTTAATCAATTAATAATAAATTGAGGCAATATATAAATCTATTTTTCTGTATAAAATAGTTTTTCATTTACAAAGTAAAACTCGAGGCTCAATGGTCTATACATTTATAGCCATTCTTGTAATTTCTTATAAATACATTATTTTAATATTTTTATTTTTATAAAATTTATTTAAAAATTTTTAATTATCATGATTAATAATTAAATAATTAATATAATGATTAATCATCAAATTTAAATAATAATAATTTTAATAGTAATATACATACTGTTCGAAATTGTTTATTTTGTCTGTTTATGTTGCCCTTACGTTTATGTCCAGTGTGGTCCTATCAAGGAACACACAACGACAACTTTGTCAGTTGAGCTGTGGACGGTAAGGTATGTGATTGCCAATTGCAAGACATCAGAGAGATCATGCAGTTCCACGGTGGATGTGCTTTCAGTGTAAGCATCTAGGATTCACGATCTTGTTCAGCTCTGTAAGATCCCTTCAAACAGTGCGCCACTGAATGACGATCTGCATGGTAATAGATCATGCCATTAGGCGTATGTGGCCATAATTCTTGTAAATTTATTTTTGCCCTTGTCGCGACTGGCGAGACAATTCTTGGGTCCACCATTGCAATCCGGAAAATTTTAATTGCTATTTATGGATAACTACTGTTTATGGTCTGCCTTAATAGTGGAATAACTTCTTGTCTTGTTGAGTGCCATGTGTTCAATGGGACCTGTCCGCCA